TACCCCCAACCCCCAGACAGCCCCCCCCGAGCTCCTGACCCATCCAACCCTTCCCCTGCTCCATGTCTCTTGACTGCCCCCCCCCCCAGAACCTCCCTGCCGCTTCTCTGGCCCCCGGCCCCCTTACTGTGCTGCAGAGCAGCGCGCTCGGCAGCGGGGGAGGGGAGCAGGGTCGGAGCTCCAGACTGCCGGAGGCCGAGGTGACGGCCGGCGATCTGTGAATGCAGGGAGGGAGGGAGAGAGAGCAGGGGAGTGGTGTCAAGTTTCAGGAGAGAGGAGGGGGAAGTGGAGGAAGGGCTCTGGCTACCGGAGCCCCGAGCGAGTGGCACCATCCGTCCGGCTGCCCTGTAAGCCCCGCATGGGGGGAAGTCCGGACATTGACAAATTCCCCCCGGACGCTATTTTTAACTTAAAAAAGCCGGACATGTCCGGGGGAATCCGGACGAATGGTAACCCTAATATTGGCTAATAGCCACTGATGGACCTATCATCCATGAACTTACTTAATTCTTTTTTGAATCCTGTTATAGCTGTGGTGACTGTGTCCCAACAAAACGTGTTCATCTATGTGTCTGATAATTCTGTTCTAAAAATTGACCAATCAATAAGAATTTCCACATCCAATTTCTCTATCCCCCCCACCAAGGTATCCAAATCCTGACGGTGTATTTTTCAAACCTAGTTGCAGTGTGCCTGAGACTTATCTTCGGGCCTGCTCAAAACAGAAAACGGAGGGAAGAAACAAGCTCTTCCTCCTTAAACAACTGTACAAATCATCAGGTTTGCATTAAGACTTGGAGGGGCTTGCAATGTACGGTTTGTTCTAAATTGCTGCAATTCCTTTTTCTAGTATCTGGTTTCAATGCAAAGCTTGAGCAGCTACTACTGGTCAAAAGGACATTTTGTAAATGTAAATCTGGGATTATCTGTGCAAATAAAAATGTCCAAATTTAAACCCTCTGTTCCCCACCACAGAGAAAATGACTGGGTCTAGTACTGAAAAGCTTTCTTTGTGTGGAACAAATGGGCAGAAAATTTGCTTTCCAACTTTTTTTATTAGAGCCAAATCCAGATAATTTGCTAGGATCTATGGGCTTTAAAGAAAACAGGTGTCCCACTTTAAATCAAGAAAGTACCCTAAAATTCAGAGAGTCACTTTGAGCTGGAAGAGCTTCTGGTATCTTGGATAGGTGATGAGTAAAATCCACTATGGATCATGCATCATGACTCTAAATTAGAAACTAAGAACAAAACTTTCATTCCTACTTTTCTGAAGTTAGTCTCCTAAATCCACACGTAGTCATCTAAATAAAAATGCCCTTTTACCTTAAGGGCAAATTTTTAAATTTAGTTGTCTAACCTGCATATACTATCCTCTCGTACCTATAAGAGGTAGTGGTGAGCAAGATCCAAATCATAGTTTACTCACATAGTTTTTACTCAGTCTCAAACTGGAAGTGTGTCTGAGTAAGGACAAAAGCTCTGAGCCTGCAAATACATAATACACATGCTTAACATACACACATAAGTAGTCCCCTTGAAATCAGTGAGATTGCTCACATGTAAAGTTAAAACATATATGCAGGATTGGTGCTTAAGGATTTGGCTGTAAGTACTTGTTAGTAAATGCATCTAGGGGATTTCAGTTCATAATTTAGCCAGAGAGTTTTGAAAATTTGGCTCTTAGGCACATAACTTTAGGCACTCAGGTATGAAAATGTTGGCGTGTGTTGACAGGCACTATGGAAACACTCTCTCTAAGATAAAAAGAAGAACAGGAGAACTTGTGGCACCTTAGAGACTAACAAATTTATTAGAGCATAAGCTTTCGGAGCATATGCATCCGAAGAAGTGGGCTGTAGTCCACGAAAGCTTATGCTCTAATAAATTCGTTAGTCTCTAAGGTGCCACAAGTCCTCCTGTTCTTCTTTTTGCGGATACAGACTAACATGGCTGCTTCTCTAAGATAAGTACACTACATTAAGGACTGATAATGAACAGCTGTTTTTTTAATTTTTTTGTTTTTTGAACTTTTATACTTTCCTATTATTTAGTCACTTTTTATTTTTAATAAATTCTACATTTATAGGAAACTAGTAGCACTTCATTAATTTGGAGCTAATCCCTGTACTGTATTTTACTGTAAATAACAATTCAGTAGTTATGCCCGTGGATGGGGTATGGAGGGTGTAGTGAGTTTGCCTTTATCTCTGTAGCACAGCATTGAAAATTTTGCTTAGGTCACAAGCGGATAAAAAAAGCTGTTTGATTTTATTCTAGTTCCCGTTAGTGAATGTTACTAAAACCATCACCTACTGTCACGTGACTTTCAATCTCTACGGAAGAGTAAATGTTTTCTCTTACTTCGGCAAGACGGAATCTCACAGTATTTCCAATACACTCCATCCTCACACTCTGCAATGTAGCACCAGGGGCTGACATCTCCATCAGGGTTCCTATCAAGGGAAGGAGACACCAAAAATTTGTCAAACATTTTTGTGAACCACATACAGATCCTTCATTTTTATTTTAAATCTAAGGCTTCATCGCTATCATTTTAATTTGTACTGCAGTGTTTCAGCTGGTCTGTCTTTCCAAGAAGAAAATAGTGGAAAATAGAATGGTAAGAACTACTGAGCTAACATCAAGTATCAGGGGGTAGCTGTGTTAGTTTGTATCTACAAAAAACAACAAGGAGTCTGGTGGCACCTTAAAGACTAACAGATTTATTTGGACATAAGCTTTCGTGGGTAAAAACCT